CAAAGTCGGTACAAAGTTCATGTAAGATGAATAAATTATCTCTGTGAGTGACGTTGAAGCCAGTAAAATGTTTCAAGAGCTCACTTCAGATAAACAGATTTTTTTCTCGTAGAAAATCGTCTTTTACTTCTCCAATTTATAGACAACCGGTTTTAGAAATCTAAATTCTAATTTTCTGAGCCATTTTTTAACAATCTTGAGAAACAAAACACACGTTTTGGTACTTTTGACTTCAAACTCACAAAGTCGGAACAAAGTTCATGTAAGATGAATAAATTATATCTCTGTGAATGACGTTGAAGCCAGCAAAGTGTTTCAAAAGCTCACTTCTGATAAATAGATTTTTTTCTTTTAGAAAATCGTCATTTACTACTCCAGTTTATAGGCAACTAGTTTTACAAAACTATATTCTAATTTTCTAAGCCTTTTAAGAACTATGTCGAGAAAGAAAACACACGTTTTGATACTTTTGACTTCAAGCTCACAAAGTCGGCACAAAGTTAATTAAGATGAATAAATTATCTCTGTGAGTGACGTTGAAGCCAGTAAAATGATTCAAGAGCTCACTTCAAATAAATAGATTTTTTTCTCTTAGAAAAACGTCTTTTACTTCTCCAATTCATAGACAAGCGGTTTTAGAAATCTAAGTTCTGATTTTCTGAGTCATTTTAAAACTATTTTGAGAAAGAAAAGACACGTTTTGGCACTTTTGACTTCAAGCTCACAAAAATCATGTAAGATGAATAGATTATCTCTGTGAGTGACGTTGAAGCCACCAAAATGCTGCGAAGCTGATGGAAGGTCTCCATGTCATTTATTTTTGGAATAAAGCGGTCCCATAACAACCCGATCCTCAAGGTAATTGAATAAAAAAACTCTTTTTTAACAAACACATTAATTTTTAATTTTCAACGGAGTACTGTAAGCTTAAATCTGATTCGATCAAACAATTAAGTTTCATCTCAAAAATCTTAAACAGCATTTATAGATTTTTGATGAATCAGAATACAGTTCCATTGTTTTCAACAAATATTCAACTGACATCAACACAAGTACAACAACAGATTATTCATATCATAAGCCTACTTTTTGCGGGGGGGGGGGGGGGGGAGTGTTTCAATTGACTAGTGAATAATGGGGTGTTGCAGGCCAATGCTATTCTCATTTTCTTGGTTATCTAAGGCTGCGTTCATAATGCATGTTTTTTGGGGGGGGGGGGGGAGTAGTTTTATCTACTTCCCCTTATAGACATTCGTCTGAATATACCTCTTCCTTTTGGTAAAGTTTGGACTTCAACAGACACCTATGACGAGGAAAAAGAATCTTAATTTCGAGAGGAAGTTTGGAGTTGGGTAGGGTTGTTGCTACGGCTCATTTGTGCGATTTATGTTGCGAGCCATGATACGACGCAATGTTGTCTGCAATGTTGCGCGCAATGTTGTCTGCAATGTTGCGCGCAATGTTGTCTGCAATGTTGCGCGCAATGTTGCACCGTGTGTCTGCGCCTTTAGTGTTATTTTTGTGTTGTAATTGCTGTAGTGCTGTTAAACCATGTTTCAATCTGTGAGTCAGCTGTGCCCTGACTTTGAACAGCCCATCGTCTTCGTTGTTGAAGATGCAGTCGCTGTTCATGTTGTTGTCATTGTACTGTACAGACCTTTTCAACGTTCTTGAGTGCCTCTAACTCTTCTGTTAGTTCCTTAATCAGCCTAAACAGACACAATTAGATCTATTTAATTACCTTGGGCGTAATGTTTTCCAATTTCTTTCCCTAGAGTATCATTTCTTTGTTTAACGGTTGAACATGAGAAGACACATGAATATGAATACAACTCAAACAAATAATCTTATTCTCAAGAGAATGACACGCGGACTGAAATGAGGAAAAATTAATCCCATCGTTTATCTCCATCCATCTCACCTTACCTTGCATCTCATGTGCTGAAGTAAACATTTTAGTACTATTAAAAGGCCATACTTACACTTCTTGTCGTGAATAGCATTCTGCGATCTCCTACAGATAAAAATAATAACCTTTAATTGGAGTTGCTTCGTTTTTTCATTTTCGTTCGTCTATCCGGATTACTATTTTCTTCGTTATCGTTATCAATCATTTTTTATGTACCTCCCAGTACAACCGCCTCGTTCACAACTAAGTACGAGATTGAAGGCGTAGAAATAGTTACTCGTTCTAATCTTATGTAACCATGTAATCTAATATGAGATTCTATTTACATCGCGTATCTAAGAAAAGTTTAACCTTGGTGGTTTGAAAGGTTTAGGTTAATTATGAAGAGGTTTGTAGAACAGGAAACAACAATTAGATCTCTAAGTCACTGCAAAACAGTCTCGGTAACTAAATCAAACATGCTGGACTTGTAGAATCAGTCATGTACGAAAAACATTGAATGAAGTGCACAAATTCTTCTATAAATTTCTGTTTCATAGCAAACATACGCAATCCCTCTTTCCTTTCCCTCGACTCTCATACGTCTTCCAGTTCTTCCCGTTCAGTGGTTACCTTCTCCGCTCCAAGAAAGATTTAGCATTTGCGCCTCGCTTTTTGCGGAGGGGAGAGAGAGCTAGGGACAAAGTTTCTCCGCAAAAAGCGAGCGCAAATGCTAAATCTTTCTAGTTCACTCATAAAACTGATATTTTATGTCAGAATATTTCGCAACCAATGAGAGCCTTGTATTAGTTTAATTTTAGAATTATCTATATATAATCGTTACCTTCAGCTCTTCATTTTCTTTCTTCAGTCTGAATTCACAAGACATAAAGTAGAAAAACAGTATTTCAGAATGTCTTATGTAAAAGGATGGCCTGGGGCGCCAAAAGCCACCACTTAAGAAGTAAGGGTTCCCTGGTATAGATTTGGCTTAGCATTTTGTATACGGAGGAAAAACATAGCACAAAATTCCTTAAAGTGAGTGACCTATGAAAGGACTATTTTGGGTCTTTCGGCTAAAAAATTTAAGTACACTGTTTAATAGAGGGATAGAGAATTTTTTCAAACGGATCTGATAATTTGCGCGGTAATGATCTGCCAACACCCCCAAACCGCTCCGCCGCGTATTAGCCATTCCGAGGTTGAAGAAAAAACTGGGTCGAGTTTTCATTACAGTGCATTCTGGGACTGTTTTAGGGGTGATATTTCCAAAATGGCGTGAAATATTTTAAACATTTTTGAGATAAATTTCCAGCTTTCATCAGTTTAAAGATACATTAATTTGGAGCCAAGCTCTGTTGTGCTTACCCCTTCCATGATAGCTTAGGAACTTAGATAATTGTCATGGATAAAGTTATGTAAATGATATTAAAACACTCATTAATAATTCATAAGCTTATGGTCCAATTGGAGCCACCATACATGTCGCGTGCATGAACCTTTATACCCGATAAAGTCCTCTTCATTAGTATTCAAGTGATTTTATATAAAGACACATGTGATCTTTATATAAAGACACATGTGATCTTTATATAAAGACCACTCGAATACTATGAGGATGACTTCATCAGGGATGAAGTATGCATCCAAGTTTAGATGAAGACATAGAGCTTCATCAAGGTCATAGTCAACCCTAATGATCTTTGACTAACGTGCCTGTCTTTGCCTTGGCACGCAATCCAACGTGTGGGAGCTTCTATTGAATCTGGTTGCGCATGCCCGTGACGTCAAATCTCTATCGAAGTATAAAAATTCATGTTCGTGACGTGTATGGTGGCTCCAGTTGAACCAAAATCTTATAAATTGTTCATGAGTGTTTTAAGCAGTTCAAAAAACTCGTAGATCGTGTTTTATCAGGTATAAAAGCACTGGGCTACGCCTCGTGCTTTTATACCTGATAAAACACTCCTACTCGTTTTTTAAACACTACCAAAGGTACTAAGCTATTATCCTGTACCACCCCTCCCTCATGACATTTAATTGATAATTTTATACTTACGACTCAACTTCTTGGACTGTTACTTCCAATATTTCCTGGCGATGAAAAACTATGGATTTAGATAAATTTATTTATATATTTTCCTCAGCTTAATTCTTTCAGTCTACGAATCCCATAATTTTATTCAGTCTTACCTTTAAGCTATCGCTCTTCCCTTTGAGACTGAAATTATAGATTATTTAACAAAAAAAGAATTAGTAGCGATGTGGATTGCCTACTCAATACTCATTTCAAAGTTGAGTGGAAAATGGGTCGAGTTGGTATTGCAGTGCATCATGTGACATTTTTCAAGATGGCTTCTATTTTGTCCCAAAATGAAACAGCCCTAAAATGCACTGCAATGCCAACTCGACCCAGTTTTTCCCGTACGAGATGCATGGTATAAGGGGGGTGTTAGTCTTCTTCCTATTGGATACTGAAAAACGTAGTTGTCTTTTGGGGGAGTGGGGTGGGGAGAATAATTTGCTGAGGTGTGGCCCTTCACCTCTCCTCAGAGAAATTAATCGTTTCCAGAAACATATTCTGATATCATACTTACTGTTCTTCGACATCCAAAGCTACATTGCATAGAACTTTAACTGAATCCTGAAAATCAAAGATGATTGAACATTTCAGTATAAATTATAAGAGCTTTAAGAGCTAATAAGAGCTAACTCTAAAGAACATGCCCGCAAAGGTCTCTTGGGTAAGGTCGTGAAGACTGCTGGGCCGACTATTGCGCAATTAGTCCGCAATTCCCTCTGGGAGCAATCAGGACGAAAATGTGTTAATTTTACAACTGGGCTATCACAGGTATCCCAGTAAAAATGCAAAAATAAATAAATTAATAATTATAGTTAAATGTTATTCAATCATATGTAACCGTGGTTAATGTTACCGCTAGAAAGATATCATATACGTTCTCCTTTTGATTCTCCCTAAAGATTTCCCCTTTTTCTTATTTCTTAACTTTGTTAAGAAAGCATGGATTTATAAACATTCAACTCAGTACAGCGGTATTCACCATTTTCCATACATTGGTTCACTGGTCAAACACAAAGCGCTCAAGCGAGGCGCCAAGATACTTTTAAAGGATTATTCAAATTTGAACCTTGCAACCTCGACTGAATGCTTTGTGTCTGACCAGTGAACCGATGTATGGATAATTGTGAATTGCACCATCACGTGCCCACGCCCATAATACAGCTTGGACTGCCTGTGGTTATATGGCGGAACAATACGATCCCATTGCTCTCGGCGATGGAATTCTTTCTTATGTAAAACGATTGTATTGTTCCTGCCATCTAACATGGCTGCCGTCACGTGATGGTGCAAAACCCCTATTCCTTTAAGGAATACAAAACGCGCGCGCGTGTCTCTGTACTTTGATATAAACACGCTGGTAGCTGTAGAGCACTAGAGAAACAAGTTCAGGAACACGAGGCGTAGATGAGTGTTTCTCTTGCTTCTCGAGTGCTCTAGAGCTTCCACATTGTTTACAATTACAGTACAGAGTCATAAGCAGCCGTTTTATAATGCTTTTATAAAATATTTTTGAATGATTTTGCGCGAGCCTGTCTTTGTCCTCTAAAAAAAAACGGTAGCCAGTCGATCAGCGCGCACGCGTTAGATCTCAAATATTTTATTATCCACGATATAATTTTAATAGGTGTTTAATTCCGAGTTCTTACCTTTAACGCTTTGTTTTCGTTTTTGATTCTGAAAAAATTGAAATCCATAAAAACGAATTAAGCACGTTCATGGGCATTGCTCGTGCGCATCCTTTCTACGCATGAGTTAAGTGCGCCGCGGGCTCATTGTCGAGATGACGTCATTCGAACGTTTTGATGTTCATATGACGTTCAATATCGAGAAAACAAGCTATAGCTCTAAAAAGCGGTGTCCCCTTTTTATTTTTTATTTTTTGAAAGTACTTAATGATAGCCAGCAACTTATTAAATTCAAAAAATTATAAAAATGTAAATCTAATCTAATTCTAAAAATCTGACGATTGGATCAAATCGAAATCACACATTTTGTGCATAATGTAAATGAAGGCTACAAGTGCACACATCACATATTTATGATTTTCTGTAATTCTTGATTATCCGGATTCTCTTTTGATAAAAGCCAGCCTCTCATGCAGTGGAACGACTGCTAAATCCCCATAGTTAAAAAGCCATGATACTATGATACGATATGCTATACTATGATACTCACGCGTCTATCATGACTTGCGTGTAATCCACTTTTTTCTGTAAATCGAAATCAAAAAAGATATTCATAACGTTGAGGGAAGACTGGGGACGAGGATAGTATCGTTAGTGATATTTTTTATTATTTTGCTTCTCACCTTTAGATTTTCGTTGCCGCTCTTAAGGCTGAAAATGAAAGGACAAGAAGGACATTAGCGATAGAAAGGTTAACAAGCTTTTTTAAACAGATGACGGGGGTCGGACAGACAGACAAACAAACAAACAGATAGGACGACATACAGATAGGAGGACAGACAATCTGGCAGATAAGACGACGGATAGATAGGAGGACAGACAGACAGACAGATAGACAGACAGACAGACAGACAGGACGACATACAGATAGGAGGATAGACAATCTGGCACATAAGACGACGGATAGATAGGAGGACAGACAGACAGAAGGACAGGCCAAAAGGCCGACAGAAAGTGCAATAGACAAACAGATAGGGCAAAACAAAATAGGAGGACAGACAGACAGACAGACAGGCAGACAGATAGGAGGTGAGGGCAGACGGTCATAATACCTAGACCGACCTAACAGCGTTTTTCACATGTACGAATATATATATAAGTAGTGCAGTTTTCGTATGACTGTGAAAAGCTCACGGCACGAACACTTTCATGACACGACAAGTGATACGCCAGACCAATCACATTGCGCGATAATTTACTCTTCATCCAATCAAATGCCCTAAACACGACATAAATACGGCGTGGACACAGTCACGTCAAGGTCACGGCACTGCCAGACCAATCACATTGCGCGAGAAAAAAATTAGCCAATTAAAATTCTAGAACATATCACAGTCATACAGTCATACGAAAACTGCTTTATGCACACTAAAGACTACTTACTCCTCTTTTTCACTCATAATTTCCTGAAAATCAAAAATTTGCGCTAAATTAAAGCATTGTCTTCAAAAATAAAGTACCAATCGGTCACGTGATCACTGTACATCATACTGTCTATCATCATAGACCAAATGCAAAACTTGCACCGACGTGAGGCTTAAGTTGTGAACAAAGAACGCCAGATTGCTTTGTTCAAAACTTAAGCCTCATATCGGTGCGAGTTTTGTATTTCGCCTGTATATAAAATGAAATTTCTAATCATGTTACGTATAATGACAATGGAGCCTCATGTATCACAGGAATTCTCTCGTATTTTTATTGAATAGGGCCCAGTTGTACGAAAAATGTATAGCGCTATCCGATAGATAAATCCTTATTGTTACCCAACTATTATTCAAATTAGAGTACAAATAACGCAGGAGAAAGCCTGGAGCGATTATAAATACCCTGCGAAACTCTAGGTTATTTCGTACGAAAACTGAACCGGTTTTGAAAACGAGTTGAAAGGAAAAAATCGTTTTAATTAAAGCCTTCTTTTTGGAAAACGTAAGCTTAGTTGGATAATAAATAACTTATTAGACATTTTAGGGTGAAATACTAGCGGACATTTTTTCTCGTCTTTCTCGTCTATCGGGCTCGAAAAAATATCTACCCGTATTCCACTCTAAAAGGTCTAATAATATCTGTATAATGCGGATAAATCAATGCTGTTTATTCAATAAATTTTTCCACTAAGATTTATCAAGAGAGCATAAATAAAAGAGGGAAACTTCTTAATAACGCGCGCGCCATGTAAATTCCCGGTTGGGCTATTTTAAGTAACCGGATGCAGTTTAAATTTCGCCCTACCCTACTCCCGTGTGTCATCAACTTGCGCGCACGCTCTTCCTTCGTTTTTAGTCATCAAAAGAATAAACGGAAAGAGCGCGCGCGCGAAAGTTGGTGACGTACGGGAGTAGGGTAAGGCGAAATTACTGATTGAATGTCACACTCCCCACCATTACCCTCCTTTTAACACAGGGATCCCGAGCGCAGTAAAGAATCCGTGACCAACATGACGCCAAATTTTCACGCGATTAAAAATTAAAAATGGTTCTGATCTACCTCTGTTTTCTTCAAGTGTAATTGATGTTCTTTCTGTAGACAACAATAAGAAAAGAGCTTAGATATACGGTGCAAGCTAGCGAGGACCACGAAGCGTAGGCCCAAGAAAAACATGGATAGGTATTATGAAATATTATACAATAACTGTTATAAATCTCTCGTTCTGATTGGTAGAATTTGGACAGTGAACGAAGATTGAATATGAAAATGGCACGCGCGCGCACTTTTTATTGTGACAGTCGTATATAATATTAGAGAGTAAACAATTAATCCGTGAAACACTAATTACTGAATAGTACAAAATAGTGCTAGTTAAACAAAATAATACAATGGAATTTGCATGAAATTGTGCTATTTAGTATTACTAAAGTTTCACGGTTATTTTGTTTGCACTCTACGATCATTCTAAATTGTATTTTATAATACAAAATTAAACAACTTGCTTCAAGATTAGCAGAACACTCGAGAAGTGTTGTCAAGCACCCGCATGTCGTTCTTCTCCTAACGCTTTTCAAGTGTTCTGCCAATCCTCGCCTGCTTGCAGCCCAACTTCAAGTCTAGGCTAGGCATCCCAAGTGACTTATGACTGCACGCGGCACAGCAACAAGTTTTCAATTTTTTCAATATTTCTTCATACCTCCATTAACATGATTTCCTGTTTGATCCTAAAATCAATTCAATTGATAAAGAATGTCTAAATACAGCGGTTATAACAAGAAAGGTTGTTGATTGTGACTAGATATTTTTACAGAGCTGTCGCAGTTTGAGTCCATACACCAGCCGGTAGTCAAAATAGAAACTAGAGGAGTTAAAATATCTGTTCTAGCCGTATTGTTTTAAATTTGGTGTCATAATTTGCTTATCATGGAACAACTGATCTCATAACAGTACAGCACACCTTTTTGCCCAGAAAGGTTTAGAGTGAATATTGCGCGCGCTTGCGATCTGATTCGTCCCAATACATTCTCACATTCTTTCGGCCAAACGCTTGTAGTGCAGGTCGTGCACAGTCCTGTTTGGCTAAGCAGCGATTAGTATTTTATTCGCGTCCACGAAAACATTTGTAATATTGCTATAGATGAGAGGATACCTATCGAGCAGATTAATCGTTTTTTAACATTAAAATGCATGGTATCATCTTACGCTTTCGTGCTTTGTTATTGATCTTGAAAGGAATCCGTTTAAGGCCACGTCCACACGCATCCGGATATTTTTGAAAACGGATATATATATATATTCTGCAGTTTGGCCTTGAAAACGCATTTTTTTTCGAAAACGGATACGTGTGAACGATAATATTTTTTTTGGAAACGGAATCTTAAAAATCCGTTTCAAAAATTCAAGGATACGTGTAAACCATCATCACTATCATCACCACCACCACCGCCACCATCAACATCATCATCATCCTCATCATTATCATAGTTTCCCTCATGGATCGAGATTGGCCTTGCATAGGGCGCGTTTTCCTTGGAAACCTTTGTTGGACGAAGCCTAAAAGTCATTCACTTACTTGTCTTCCAATTCTTTCCTACTTGAAAGTTCACTTTTAAGTTTCTGGAAAAAAATGTGAAAAATTTAGTGGCAGATTTCGAACAGGTTGTGGGTGTTCACACACGGCACGGTGTGGTAACGGTACAGAAGTGGTGTAATCGATCTGTTGAACCACTCACAACGCACAATCTATTTATCTAAAACAATACCCCATCCCCCTAGTTTACTCTACGATCGACTTAATTTATTTTTTACAGAGGGTGTCACTTGACAAGTTGCCAACTTAGCACTAATAAACTTGCTGCCCTCGATCTTTCTTTTTGCAATATCCTACAAATTTCTCGCGCGCTGATTGTTTTTTTTTTTATCATCAATAAGAGGACAGACAGATAAGTGTAACGCTTCTGAATAACAACACGGGACCGCCATTTTGTGTGATCATCCAAGCCACTGAGAAGGTTCACTCATTTGTAGATATTTTAAAGCAAGCAGCACCTTCTACTCAGATATTTAAAAACCTATGTGTTGGTCCCGGCCGCAGAGGCTTTAACCCACGACCTCCCGCGCAACAGAACGGTGCCCAGCCAATTAGCCAACCGGGAGACTTAACATTTCTTGTCCTAAAACAGATCGATATACTAACCAGGTGATCTCGTTTTGACAGCCCATCAAAAACCAGCAAATCATCGCGCAGGAATCGGGCGGTCCATCGAAAAAAAATGGCGACCGAAGTCAGAAAAAAATACTCTGAATGTTTGCTCAATTCCTAGCTACGTTATGGACTAGCAGTACATTGGAAATTCTACTTATTCTAATAACGAATACCTATGGGTCAAATGGTGCGTTGCGGTTTAAATTATTTTATGAAATTATCGTCAAATGATAGCTCTTTGTTTTCCGAAAACAACTGAAACTAGGACCGGCTTATCAACTACAACAATACTTTGCGCGCGTTCCCTGAGATCACGTGGAAGGTGTTATACATATTTCTACCTTATTTTCTTGGCCATATGTTTCAGCAAGTTCTTTTTGGGCTTTTATCTCATCCTACGAAAGCAAAAAAATAAATGAATGAAAAAATGGATGGGAGATAGAAGTAAATTATACTATGAATAATTGAAATTAGGCCCTGTCCACACTATGCCGGATAAATTTGAATCCGAATTTTTATTTATCCGGTTAGGCCTACCGTCCACACTAGTCCGTGCGAATCCGGAACAATTCTTCACCGAAAACGATTTTTTTCGAATACGGTCTCCAGAGTGGAACGATTTGAAAACGTTGGTTAGCCGTATTGGTGTGGACGGAGAACATTTCGCATCCGAATTTTTTCGGATATGATGACGTCATGATTGTCATGGGAACATGGCGGGAAGGCTAAAAATACACCGCGGGCCCAATTTCAGCTTCGATGCACATGCTCAGATGTGCAATGAAGCGTTTTTGCCGCCTCTGATCGGACTAGTGTGGACGCGAAACATTTTATTCGTTTTCATGTGGACGGAAAACTTTTTTTTCGTTTTCGGTGTGAAAGTTGCGGATTGAAATTTATCCGGCATAGTGTGGACGGGGCCTTAGAAAATTAAATGAATAGAACTAAGGATGAAGGAATGAAGGGATGAATAAATTAATGAATGAATGCATGAAACAAAATATGGGCGCTTCTTAAATAGGATACCTTTTTCAGATTGAGTTCAATCGCACTCTGTTTGATTGCATTCTTGTAAGTCTATGAAAGAAAACACATTTAAATTTTAAAACACTCAATATCAATATCATAATATCAGGACGCATCTGTATCGTTTGATTCTTTCCACACACACTTCCACTACATTTGATATTCACAACGCAGGACCGTTGAAAAACTCCTTCGGAGACATGGGCTTCCTGCATGCTTATTTAAATATCATTAAACGAATAAACACAACACTTAACGCGCAAATGTTGATTTTTAGGGAGCCGGAAATCTATACGAAAACCGGTGAAAAACCATCGCTTCAAGGGAGAGAACAACACATCAAGCAAACTAAACTGATAAACACTCAAATGAAGAATCGTTCGCGGGTTCAGAAACATAGAACATAGAAGCCGAGACCGAAATGGCATATGCGAAGTACGTTAATTAGATGCACGCTGCGACCGGTGACCCGTGGCATCATCCACTGTTTTTAATACGCGTTTGGCATTCTAAACCGACTGCATGGATGGTGCAAATGAATAAATTATAATATAATCATGTCATTTCCCATGTGCCATTTCGGTCTCAGCTTTTATGTTCTATGTTTCTGAACCCGACAACGATTCTATAGTGAAGTGAGTGTATGAGGTTTAGTCGAGAATCTAACAAAACCCCAGGCCTAAACTACTGTGAGATACAGCGCCGTAACAACGAAACTTCACTTCAAACTGTAAAATAAGACTTCACTTGTAAAAAGCTTCACTTGAACTTCACTTACTTTCACTCGACTTATCAAGCGCTTCTTACTGAGATCTAAAATTGTCAAAATAAGAATAATGATAACAGTAAAACATTAAAAATCATTGAAGACTTCAAGAAAAAAATGAGCATATTATAGTAGTTTTTGTTTTGAGAAACAAACTTACAGAAATCTGTCGATCCCTTTTTCTCCAGTTCCGCCATTCTCTCCCTCGAAAATCAAGCTAATGATGGAAATATTCTACGAAAATATTTTATTTTGGGGGTCTATACATTTTATTCAGAAGTCACGAAGCTAATTGTGGACGTCAATTGTGACATCGAGTACTTAATTTTGTAGCGCGCGCGTGCGCTGTTCTTGAGCCCTCGATACTTGTTCGCAACACCGCCGATGAAATTGCTAGATTGGAAGAAACGAATGGGTAACGGTTTGGATAATGTTCAAAGCATTTTGATAGACAGGAATCGGTAACACTTTGGGAAATGTGAGCAAAAGCAGCTAAATTCAACACCGTTTTCTCAAGGTTGCGTGCGCATCCAACTTGACGRGCCACAAAACTGAAAAACGTAAATTCAGTAAAATTGAGAAGACAGTTTTATATTTAAAGATGAGAATAATCGATTTTATGAATTCTTATCGAGAAAGATTCATAACAATGCGTTATAATGCTTGTGTTCTGGTATCATGGCCCGTCAAGTTCCTTAAATTTAAACTATGGTTTTCACGCAGGCCTGGATTTCGCCTGTCCACACTAAAATCAAGCGGATATCATAATTTGCGCATGCGAAAACAGACGTGCCGTTGTGAATAACGCCAGCGTTTTTTTTTTTGAATCTCTGTTTTCGCTGCCCGCACTTATATGATAGACCTTTGTTTTCAAATGTTTCCTTTCTGGAGAGCGTTTTCAAATGTATGTGTTTTCGATCGTTTTAGTGCGGACGCAAGATACCAAAACGCATCGAAAAGTATACCTTTTCAAACGGGGTCCAGGTTATTTTCTACTTCAAATCAATGACTTCAAATTGATGTGAGCAGCAATCAAGCCCCCAACCCCCGTTCAAAGTCCGTGAAATTTCGAAGTAATCAATAACTTGTTTATTAGAAATACATTTGATAAACAAAGCTGTCTTCTAATGTACGCATAACTTACGGTTTTGCGCGTGATTAATGAGCACTGTAATACTGACGGTAGTTTTATTGCTAATTCATCAATCACTAACATCAAGCACAACAAAGCATAACCACCTTAATTTCCTCGTGCATTAGAGCCTCAAACTAGGTCGTATTACACGAGACGATTTGCAACGGAGATTTTTAGCGCATTAGTATTACGTTTAAAGTTGTCTTCGTGTAAGAAGACGCGCGGTTACTATTTTGAACGATTTTTTGTTGCAGCAAAATGTTGCAAGTTTTTGAACGACCTTCAAAACTCACAACAATGTTGCCATCGGTTTGCGTGGCCGCGCACGCAATTTTTAGCGCAACAATGTTGCGCGAAAATTCGTACATTCGGTTTCTTGTTGCTAATGCGGCTTTGTTGTTTTTTGTTATTGTTATCGCTGTAGTTGTTGCTCTTCTATTCAAGAGAAAATAAGCTAGTACATTTTCTCTTGTCCTTACTGATGTTGTTTTCTGTTGCAGTTATTGTTGTTGTTGTAAAAACCTATGTTTAACCATTGACCATGATCATGAATTTCCGACGGTTTAGAAGTCATATCGTGGTAAATAAGAGGATATACGACGCTCAACCATTGGAAATTTGTCTTTTACTACAAAGGGAAAAAACCAGTAAGTTTGAAAGAAAAACTGTTTCAAGCGCACGCTGGCTCCGTACGCGAACGATTCATAGTGCGTTCTCGCAAGTTGTTGGTCTTCTTATTTACCATTCTTTAAATCATTTACATTGCTTGTATACAGTATTATTTTCGTGTCTATAATCACGAATACCATGTTGTCTGCATCTGAGACTTCGTCATCTGTCTAGTCATCATATTGTTTTGTGCACTTGGGATATCCTGTTGGTTTCCCCCAAGGCTCGGCATTGGTACCGGTGTGCCGTCACCCTTTAATACAGATATGCATTTCCAGTTATCCAAGTAGTTGGCTGTTGGAGAATAAAATCCCAACACCGTCAATATTTTTGGAAAAATTTCCACTTGAACACGAGGCTAGACAGTCCAAAACAATATTTATTCAAATTGGTCGCCATATTTCGATTTTGTGTGTAGTTCAGTCAAATGTTTACCTTTCCATAGCCTGACACACCCATCGTCACCTGATGACGCCAAGATTGTACCAGTGACGTTCCACTCTACCCTCCAGACCTGATGATTTTGAACAGTAACGTTTAGGCAGCAATGAGATATGACTAAGCTAAAACTAATTTGGCCTGTGACCTCTGACTGATTGGCCATTATTTTAAGCCCTGGTAGAGTTTCTGAATACCCTTTCCTCCCCAGTGGAGGAGGTTGGAATGGGATTATATATTATAATTGGAATCTCTGAGGAGGGTATATTGTGTAGTTCTAGAAAACACCAACACTTAGTAAATAAATCTCTATGTATAAATCACTATCAATATCAAGATATTTACCTGTGATTCATGGTCACTGAACTGTGCAACAAGACTAATATCTAGTTTAGCAAAACCACCTCCTAAATTAGAAACTCCTTGATCTGAACTGAGTGAGAAAAAAACAACACAAAAATCCATTGGAATATCATAGCATCAGCGCCTAAATCTTTAAATCCATGCATGTATGCATAATTGGGCAATAGAGAGATTTGAACAGAAATTCCAAGGGGTGGGGAGGGCCTCAGAAGGGTATATTAAAAGTGAACTTCCAGAAAATACCCATATCTTACCAATGGAGGATTGGAATTTCCAAGGGGTGGGGAGGGTCTGAGAAGGGTATATTGTGTAGTTCCAGAAAATATCCATGCCTCCAGCATGAAGGGGGACTGCAATTTGCAAGGTGTAGGAAAGGTGCAACATTGTCTTCAGACCCTACAGACCTCAGATAAGATACTTACCCAGTTGGCATCAGTTTCATGATCCTAACATCCTTTGATGCAATGGCTAGAAGATGATATGACCTTATAAAACAACAAAATGTAATAAGAAAAGTAAATGGTTTGACCCCAGGTGTTGAAGTTTGTTGTGAAATGTGATCATCCGTGTGAGTGTAGTCTTGAGAAAGACTGTCGTTGGTGATGACTGACGTTTCGACAACCACAACAAAGTTTAATAAACGACAATATACTACATGTAGGTCTAATAGACTCTTTTTGAGTTCCATACATATGTATTACCGCTGTGTTCCTTGATTAGACTCATTGGTATTTGCGAGTAATTAGACACTGATTCGAGGCTAAGCCTGAGTAAATGAGTCTGTGATCAAGAAACACAGCAGTAATTTGGAACTCGAAACTGATCTATTGGTCTAATTCTTTTTTAGAAAGTTCATTCTGTATTAAGGTGATTGTAGAAAATGAATTGTACTATCAAAGCTATGTAACAATAATTCTCTCCCTACCTTCCTAGGTTTGGTGAGAATGCAACATCGTGGACGGCATCAGTAATAGCCATTAGCGTCTCCACTCTTTGCCATTTCCTGAAAATCCAACAAATTATCATAATCTTATGGTATCGAGAAAATCTGGACCTATTGAAATTACGGCTTTTCTCCAGAGGTAAGCATACATGTGTCAAGATGAGTCTACTGTCATTAAATAGTGAATAACAATAATAATTTTTTTAAAAATTGGCTACAGCAGGCTGATTATTTTGGCAGCTTTCGCTGATGTGGGCCTGATTTCACTCACACTCACTACCACTACAGGGGCAGATCCGGGATTTTACAACAAGGGGGTAGGGGGCCGGATAATTTCTTAGCTTTTCCCATGAGGGTAGTGACACCACAACAGCTTTTTGCCAATTACAGTGGGCCCTGTAGAGTTTAGCACAGGCACCAAAGATGTTCGTCACCAGCGTCTTCAGTCGGGGTCTTTTACGTCTGCCTTATGCAGGGTTATATAGTGAAGACAGACGGGGCCTATGGTTTTAAGTCCTTGTCCGAGAAGATTTGAAGGTCTAACCATTTGTAGGTGCAATTACAAAGGCAGCAGCTTCTCCTCAGTTATTTTAAGACCCGAGTGTCCGGCTGAGGCTTGAACCACGACCTTCAACACAACAGACTGACGCTCTTACTAACTGAGCTAATCTTATTCAAAGCTCCTTCAAGGTCTCTATTCTCCATCAGAGTTCAGAAATTTCTTTAAGATATTTCTTTTTGATTGTTAACACCTCTTAATAGGGGTATGGACACCCATCCAATCCACCCCCCTGTATCCGCCCCTGCACTATATCTACTCTTATGAACACACACCACTCAACTCACATGTTGACTTTTTTTTACAGAAAGAGAAAAACTGGAGAAAATACTTGTGGCAAGGGAGAGAACAACACATCAAAAAAAACCAATTGACACGTGGTGTCCACAGGGATGGAACCAGAGACCTGACCCGTTGGACTCACAGCAGTGAAAGACGATGCGTTAGCAACATTTGCCGTCATGCCACCCAGCTAAAGAATGCTTACCTGTCGTTATCATAGTATTCATGTATCTGAACCTTTCCTCCTGCGCTAGGATTAGTGTCATCACTACCAACAGCTAACATAGAAGCATGATTCCTGTGTAAACAAATCAAGTTAGTCGTGAAGTGTGATCGTCCAGGTGAGTGAAGTTTTGAGAAAGACTATTGTTGGTGGTGACTGTCATTGAGACAACCTGAGCGGAAGTCATCTTCAGAGTCCAATGAGAAAACGAAAGACATTCACTGGTATTTATAAGTATATTTGTATATATTTTTTTATATTTATAAGAACCAATTTATTTTATTATGTGTATATATTATAGGTCAAAAAAACTTCTTTCACTAGCCTGAACAGATGTAATGTTTTTATCATTTCAGATCCCGTCATTGTCATTCAGTGGATCTGCATACTACTTTGACAATGTGAAGACTAAATTTATGATCAATAAGAGGACAGACACATTAAAAACAATGTCTAATTGTTTTTTACAACAACAAAAACAATAAAAACTACTCATTTTTAGTGATCAAAACAACCAATGGAAAGAGAGCGCGCTCGTTGACGTCAGCTTTATCTGTATGTCCTCTTATTGATGATAAAAAATAACCAATCAGCGCACAAGAGATTTGTAAGATATTGTAAAATCTTTGTTTGAGTTGTATCCATATTCATGTGTCTTCTCATGTGCAACCGTTAAACAAAGAAATAATACTCTAGGGATTGACACATGGTCTAAAATGGGAAAACATTACACCCAAGTTAAAAGACATCAAAATCTAAGCAGTTTTGATGGCCCTTTCCTTAAGTCAATTGAAGCCCTAAAATCTCAAAATTGAAGATTACAAGGGAAAAGCCACAGGATGATTACTGTACCTTGATAGGTTCCAAGAAACACAACTGCAGCTGAGTTTACACTGGATCTCATGCTAAAAACAAAAGCACTTCATTAGAAACTTAGAAGGATGCATTCATCTTACAGTTGCTAGAATATAATATTGTTAGTGGCTTTAAATAACAGCTAAACAGTATTTGCCGATCATGATCAAAGGCCAAATAAGTTTTATAACAATAATAATAACTTTATTATTCATATAGCGCATTATATACAATACTTTAAAGCACTTTACATTAATAACATACATAAAACAAATATAATATATAAAAAATAAAATGAACTGAAAAAAAATATTTACAATAATTATGTGTAAGATGTTCATAATTTCAATCTAAAACTTATGGAAAATACATATAACTTAAAAATAAATAACATTAAATAAATAATTTGCAAAACAAAATGATGTGAAAATTGACCAGCTAAATGAATGCTGTAGAAATACTAAATGTTCAAAAAAGATAGGTTTTCAACTTTTTTTGAATGTTTTTATATTCTGCTCACATCTGATGTTATCAGGCAGGTTATTCCAGAGATAAGGCACAGTAAAGCTAAAACTTGGGCCTCAGTTTTATCTTAGTCATACCTCATTTCAAGCTAAACTAGTCACTTTTACTAGTCAAAATAACTGGACTGGTTACTTGTCAAAATGACTGGCAAGGCAAAAATTTGACCCCTTCCCATTTCTGACAGGACATTGTCCGATGTCCTGTAGTTATTTTAAGCCTTGCTTGTCACACTTATTATTGATTTATTCTAGATATCAAGGAAAACCTTTACCTGTAGTGACCACTGGCTTAGATTCATGATGTCTGGTGCTTCATATATCCTCACAGTCCCATCTTTGGAACATGTTGCCTGTTATTTATGAATTAAAATATATATTTAGTGATGTTAAAAATAAAATAGAATAAATAAATCACTTAAACAAAACACTCAATATTTATATTGCCTTTTATGTATGGAAATAGCAAATACAAATGTTACTCTTTTCACTGTTGGTCACAATATTAATATTGCTTGCCTTATTCGATTGACCCCAGACTAAAATGACATGCAGGTATGTAGCTTTACTATACTCAAAATGGATGGATGGATGGACGGACGGATGGACGGACGGA